GGTCTTCCTTGGCCAACGCTGCACGCTATTAGCTATTCAAAAATTACGTTGGAATAATGATTACTTTTCAATGTTATAACGAAGGTATTTTTCAATGACGTCGAATGAAATCGCAAACTGAAGCTGCCGAAGCTGAGGTGACGAGATGACGAGGAGTGATGACACCGCTTCGTGTTTTGATTTTCGATGTACCCTACGCTCGTGGTGTGGGTGCGTACATGTATAGATGATGGTGTGCGTGTTTTCTGCCAACGGTGCAGTTCAACGTTGTATCGTCACAAACCTATTGGCGCTGTTATCTGTCTCTATATATTCCAAAGAGTGAAGGGGGTCTGGTATAATCCTTTGAGAGTGAAAGAAGACAATAATAAGTGAGTGCTGAGTTGTAAAGTTGCATTGCTTGGGTTGTCACTAACTCATTTTTCATCAGTGGTGATATTTGGTTGCCGTGATATTTGTAATGCAAGTGATTTTCACAACACTCTTCCAGCAAATATAGACAGTTTCTTATGGGAATTTTCGGTGGACTGAAAGGATAGTATAAAGTCCGCCATGTTTCACCCACAGTATGACGTTTGCTTAAGAATTTTCTCGTAGGAGTAAAGAGCTACAGAGTCGCCGTCAACGCCAATTACCAATGAAACTCACGCAGTGTAAAAAAAATGCACGCTGAGGCCATATCAACCAAAATTTCTTTAAAATTTACCCAAAGGGCAAAATGTTACAGCTTTTTTAAAGTGATGCAATTTAACTGGAGACACCCTTTAATAGCCAAAGAAGAAGAACATTTGAATGTACCTAAAACAACAGGATGGTTAGATACATATCAATTTTGACAACTTAAATATGATGAATCTATGCTTGATAATGGAAACAAGTGCAACTTAGCTTGTGTGTGTTTCTATATTTAAAACAATAATGTTTTTATTTCCCCTGTAAATTAAAAAAAAAACGGGTCGTCCAATGGTTCAACTGTCAAAAGATATAAAATATATATGAAGGTAAATATACAGCCATTCCATAGTAAATCAATATAGTGGTTTCCATTGCAAAATATTAGACCCATATTTTTATATTTTGTCATTAGGGGTTACCATTTCCATGTTAGGGTGGTATTTTTTCAAAAATTTACAACTTTTGAACCACTGGACCGATCTCAAACATCAAACTATCAAATGAAAGGTATTTAAAATAATGTCAAAGAGACATATAACGATATTAAAAAGTAGAAGGGTCTGTGCCTAGGGGCACTAACGGAAGCTTGACGTAGGACCGCTAGTGGACGGAACAAATATGTTGAGCATTCAGTTCTTTTAATTGGTCGATAATCTATCCGATAATAATCCGTTTTTTTAATTGTTGGCCCTGAAAAGGGCTGGTTGTTTTTCAAATGGTGGCCTTTTTTCTGGCCTTTTGATCGTTTGGGACGGCTACCGTGTAGTCGGAACAAACGTGTTTGCTCTTAGTTCTTTCAATTATTGGTGAAAAACGTGCTGTTCCACTCATACGTCGTGTCCGACGCTTATCCGTCCTCTGGTCGAAAGTAAATCACGACGAAAACGATTTGGCAAGCGTTTTTATCACCGCTGCTTTTCTCATCCCTTCCTATGATTGGTGAAATGGTGAGCGGTCAACCGAGCGTTGAGCTCGCTCATGTGAGCATGTGCAATGTGTCGTGTGCTTGATTTGCGCTCTATCATTACGTCCGTGTTTGGGATTTCTCGTTCCATGTCTGAATTTTGATTTTTTAATGTGACCCCCAGTATAGAAATTGAAGACGTAGTCCTACGTCAAAAATTGGCTTTTGTATTGAAAAACATTGATTGTATTTTATTTATGGTTTTTATGGTTTTCAAGGTTTGTAGACAGAGAGCGCAATATGTTTTATATTTTTTCATGAAATTTTAGGCTTTTACACAAGATATAAAAAATCATCGTTTCATTGAAGTTATCAATTGTTAGGTTTTCGCTCATTACTCCTATGTAACTTGACTACCATGCGTCTCCATTGATTTATAGCGACTGGAAACATGGTCACATTATCTATACTTATTTCAATTTTGGAGTACACAACGCGGCGCTAGTATACATGTGAACTTCCTGTATCTAAAAGCTATATCTTGAAATCCTCACCATCTACGAAGTCAGGACATCTTCGTGAAGTCCACACGCAGACTAGTGTCACGTAGTGAGAATTTTGAACCAACCAGCCTACAAATTAGAAGACATTGGCCACCTGAATAACATTTCCCAAAGTCGGAAAATTCCTAAATAGTAAAGATCTCATGATATATGTTATACATAAAATTGACTTGCACATTAGTGCCGCATAGTGAGAAACTTCTGTACTGCTGTTCTCTAACCAATCGGCCTTGACCTACAATGAAATTTTACCGAAGACAGTAGCCTTTTATATGACAAGGATCATGTGTTATTCCATGTGGCTGGGGGTATCTTATATTATCAGTCATCGGAAGTGGGGGTGGTAAACTTTACCCCGCATGATTTTGACGTAGAAGTACGTCTGTGGTTTCTGTATGCGGTACACTTTCTGAAAGCCAAAAATGAATCATGTAATAAATTTATGAAAGATTTTGAACGTTAATAACTCAGCTGCCCCTGAACCAATTTCAATAATTTTATCATCAATCAATCAAAAATATTTTTGCTTGATATTAAACCGATTAGTTTTATGACGGCATTAATGGTGGTTAAGTTGACTGAAAAAAGATAAACGTCAAAATTTGTTATTCTTTCGATAGTTTTGAACATTGCACAGTGGTCCAAAATGCATATTTAGGTGGAAAGATATGAAAATTGAAGCTTTAGACTAAAAGTATCTTCTACAAAGTTGTTCCTTATAGTTAGGCCCTCATTTTTATGACAATGAATTCTAGGGTGGTTCTTATAATCATTAAAATCAGAAATCTAACTTTTTTGTTTGAAGAAATTAAGGTATACATTCTTTAGCAAAGTTACAGCTGAGCTAATTTACATGCACCCTTTCAAATGCCGTAAAACTTTATTTTTTGTTTGCCCCAACCAGAGATATTAACATTTGAAAAGGACATATTTTTAGTAGAAAAACGTCAATAATTTTTGATTGGCGAAAGATATCGACAAGCTCTGTGCGGCAAAAATTAGCGCATTCTAAAGATCTAAAAGTTATTTGAAGACACCTTTGTTGAGAAATTTTAAATAAGAAAACTAGAGCAAAACAACTGTTTTTCAGATACACCCAATATACTCAATTCAAGAAAATAGCTCTACATCGGTTCTTCAAGAAGTTCTTATTTACAAAGTTGCTTGAAATTATCTCAGCTATAACTTTGCCAAAAAATGTATACCTTAATTTCTTCAAACAAGAAAGTTAGATTTCTGATTTTAATGATAATAAGAACCACCCTAGAATTCATTGTCATAAAAATGAGGGCTCAGCTATAAGGAACAACTTTGTAGAAGAGACTTTTAGTCTAAAGTTTTAATTTCAGGCTCAAAACAATACCTTCCACCTAAATCTGCATTCTGAATCACTGTGCATTGCTATTCCAGCGGTGAGCCAACGAGTTGCGTGACAACCTCGATTAGGACGATTTCCTCCCATTGGAAGCTATTACACAGGAAGTGTGTCGGCATAACTTGGTGCAGGTTGATGCTCAATCGTTCCCGAAGTGTTTCCCTTCACCTCTGATTTGATGAAGTTTTTATATGCGCTTGCTTAGAATTTTTGGAAGAGTTTCGTGTCGGCAGTTATCCGCAGTCCTAGTTTGGCACTGATGCTCAGATCAGTATCGAAGCGAAATTTATGGAGAGGGCTGATCTGTTTTTCAGAACGTGACGCAAACGCCATTGAAAATATTATATGTATTCCCATCAATTCTAAGAGTCGGCTTCCAGTGCTTCATGGACAGCATTCACTTTACTCTTCTCATTCGACTGCTCTGTTTATGTTGTTGTTGTGCACCGGTTCAGACAGAGCTGCTGAACCTCCAAGGAAGTTCACCTTCATAGAGTATTTCGTCACGACATCACTAAACAAACACTAGGAAGGCTTATGGTTGATTTACAAAATACTTTTATGAAGGGATAGAGTGCTGCATTAAATTCATTTATACAACCTATTTGACTCTATCGTCAGACTTCAAAAGATTTTTAAAGCAGCATAAAGCTAAACTACTAACCAAGAATGTTATGCACTATTGAAGGCAGTATTTAAACTAAAAAGGATAGTTTCTTGCCATTATAAAACCGCAATAAATCAAAGTAAATACCAAACGGCTGTTGAACTGTTTTTTGGGCTATTACGTGTGCGATGCGATGCGGAAAAAGGTGATGATGGCACGTATAAACAATAACCATAAGAAGCACCTAACCACCATTTCGGGTTATCGTCCCAAGCGTTAGTGTATGGTACCTATTTATTAGGGGGATTACTTCAACTCCGAAGACGTGCTAGAGTCCTGAAGATTTCTAGGTTCTACTCAATTTAACTTGAGTTATAATCTTGATGTTCTATGGACTTTGATACGCGTTTAGTTAATTAGGATATTCACCTGCGTTTACATCTTCAACCAGGTTTAAGCGCATGTGAAATAATGGGCTCTTAATCACATACCGTAGAAAGGGGCATTAACCCGTATACCACTATTGTTTTATCTAATTGTGCACGCAAGGGTCAAGCATCGAAGCTAATCAATAAATACACATAATACTTCAATATGGAATACTTGCGCTCTTTGCAGCAGGTCAGTTGGTTGCCTCCGGCCGTTCATCTATCCGTTGAACGGCCGATTCTTATCACTACCAGCTATCAACAGAAAAGCACTTTACAACACAACCGTTTATTTATGTAAGCCAACAGACAATTTTCATAACTCAGCGCTAATTATTATACCACCTACGTAGCCTTGACCAACAGTTCACGTTACTGCTCTATCCATCTCCTAGAAATTCCTAGAAATACTAAACAAAAACCTTTTTTATCCGTCTGACAATTAGAGATTCCAGCCGCTGTGTGTGTGTTTATGAGTATGCGTCTCCTAATCTTTCCATGACGCTAATCTCTCACAAAACAGTAAACAAATGATAAATGGAACGGTGTCTCTCACGACACATCACTGAAGCCCCATCAAATATTAGGAGCCAGTGAGTGGCTTGCAACTGATCTCGAAACATCATCCCCGACTGCAATGGATCCTGCCAGCATGAACGAGATGTCAAACATAACCACACATCTAACGGAAACTGGCATGAACAAAAACGAAGCCAAATTGTTAGCCATCCTGGCCCTAGGAGTAGGAAGCTTTGTGTCAGGAATTTTGCCACTATTTATTGCCCAAAGGAATAGGGAACGTTTTCCGGCATTGATCTCATTTTTGCTATGCTTCGGAGCTGGAGTACTGCTGGCTACGGCTCTAGTTCACATGTTACCGGAGGTGCGAGATGCACTGAAGCAGTACGCAGAGATTGTGTTCTGTCTGGGATTCTTTCTGATCTATGCAGTTGATGAATTGAGTCATATGTGTGGCGTAGGTCATAGCCATGGGCACAGCCATGAGCATCACCATAGACAGCAAAGTGAAGCACCTTTCGGAAGACGTGTTAGTCGGGATTCAGCTAATGGAGACTTCGATAGCAGTCGCAGCTACGGAACAAGCGAGGAAACAAAGTTGTTGAGTAAAAGGTTAGTCTGTTAGCATTAGCATCGCGTTGTTTGATCTGAACATTCTGTTTCAATTCTAGCGACAGTGCCATCCAAATTGCGCAACGTTCATCAGATTACGAAATACAAGGAGACAGTCAACAATTGGGAATGTCCAGTTCATCTAGTTCCACCGAAAGCATCCCGCGAGTGATGGTGGTAACCGGAGACATGTCTGAACCAGTCACTGGAGTATTCAGTCTGCTGTTGGCACTGGTTGTGCACTCACTACTCGAAGGCCTAGCCATCGGTGTGCAGAGCACAGCCCCAGCAGTTCTACTTCTGCTGGGAGCTGTCAGTGCTCACAAATACGTAGTAGGATTCTGCCTGGGTGTCGAAATTTGCTCACACGGTAGCCGGCATCGTTGTTCTCACATTCTTCAAATTTTAACATTTGCCGTTGGATCAGTGGCCGGTATCGCCGTTGGTATGATACTAGACGATATAGGTCAAACATTCAACCAGTTGGTGATACCGAGCTTACAAGGAGTGGCCGGTGGCACTCTGCTATACGTTACCGTCAGTGAGGTGCTTCCACGAGAGCGGGGAAAACGCGTTGAAATTGGAGTGCGACATGTGGGCCTTCTGCAGCTGTTTGCAGTGATACTAGGTTTTACGGTAATGTCTTTTTTAAGTCTTATCATAACCGAACAGTAGCGAACTGCTACGTGAGTCGATCGATTCGCAAGAGATTTATTTTTAGCATACGTGAGTACACTGATTTTAAGTGAATAATAGAGATCTAGGTATATTTTAAGAAATGTGAGGAAAAAGTGTGCCAATATGCATGTCTATCGATTAATAAACAACGCTTGAGATGCAGTAACGAATCAACAATTCAATTAACTTTCTCCTTGCCGAAATTGGTGCCCTATATTGACCTTGACGAACGCTCTGCAGCTGGCGGCTTTCAGTTTTGAGCTGCGAATGGAAAGAGATTGGACGAAGAAATAAAAAAAAAACATTGCATCGAAACTGAGAAATGCGTTGCGCTGAACACGTTCCACTATCCTGGTGTTGAATATCATACATCACGTTTCACAGGAAAATACTATAAACGTAATTAATGTGTTGTAATAAAATAAACAAATCATTATCATTGACTTTTGAAACTATATATTCAAATCACTACAGTTTTTTTCGTTGAATTAAGTATTACGCATTTCGCTCAGGCCAAGACAAATAAAACTAGACCATTTTGAATGTAATATTTCGTTACATTTTACAATAGTTACAACATATCGATATACTAGCGGTAATAGAACTTAGATAATTGTTAATTTAATGATCATGACCCAGGCGAAAAAACTGCGACATTATTTTTAGCGCATGAGTCTGCTATGTTGTGAAATGCGCAACATCATCAATAATTAAACATACCTAGATAGAGCTGGAATTAGCGCGTAACAACCTTTGTAACCAATCTCTCGTTGATTTCTAGGAATTCAAGGGACGCTTACACAAACCAACATATCAATCGCAGAGGGAAAGTCTTCCCCTACTCGATGGTGATGTCAATTTGTCAGGGAAAGCCATAGCTTTCGAGAAATCATCGAGAGAAGTAATTGTTTACAAAAACTGTTACGCCCTAATTCCAGCTCTATCTAGATACATACAATTCAATCTAAGTGTTTGTTTCTTCATACGTGAAGTTTACGATTTTCAGAGCTGGGAGGAAATGCTATACTAACATCAACATGAAGCTTTAGTGCGATAATTTATCAGCTAGAGAAAGTTCTGAAGATGATAGATTGATAGTTCCGATAATTCTAAAGAAAAACAAGGGAAATCTAGAAAAGTGTTGCAAGACAATTGTAAAGGTGGATGCATAGCTAGTTCTGAAGAGACTATTATGGGGATTACGAATAGAATTACAGAGAACTCTAAAGCAAATCGTAAGAAATTGGGGGGTGGGGGGAGGGGGTAGGTAATTTGGAGGAGATTTCAATGTAAATTAATCCTACAGCAAACTTTATGATGATAGGACAACAATCCTGAAACTACGTCTAAAGATCACGGCTGAAATCTCTTAAATTTTGATCAATCAATGAACCAAACAGAAATGCTGAGGAGTGCTGCAAGGGGATAATTAAAAAAATCTAACTCATAATATAGGTCAAACACATTCGTTCAAGAATTTTGAGCAAGTTTGAAGATAGCTTCAATAAAATTCCTTACAAATGTTGAGGGAATTTCATGGAGTTTCCAGGAGAGTTTGGCAGAAAATTTAGAGCATATTTCCAAAGAAATTCTGAGTAGTGTTCCAGGAGAATCTGACGAAATTATCAAGGAAATTCTAAGGATAGTTTCAAGAAAATTCTAAGGAAAATTCGGATGGCATTCTGAGGTGAAATCCAAGGACATTTTTAGAGAATGCTTTTGAAAGTACAAATAATCAAATAATATTCCAAGCGAACTGTAAAGATAATTAAGGAGAGAAATTAAAGCAAATTCTTGCGAGAACGACTAAGTATACGACGATAAATGCAGAGTAAATTTCAAGAGATCTCTGTAGTGAATTAGTCAAGTGTTCTGCACAGAATTATGAGACTTTTATATAGAAAACTTTTAGGGAATACCGGACACAATCATAAGATTATTAAGGGTGGTCCTGAAAATAAAACTTATAAGACATTTTGGAATGATCCTAATGAAAATCTTGGAAAATTTTCAAAAATATCCTGGTCTTAGAAAACTGTTGAATATTACGGACCAGCAATATCAGAAAAGAGTAACGGTAAAGTATGTGACATTTCAAATAAGAATAAAATCCTCTATGGACGAGCATTTAATATTCCAGTTATAGAGAGATGTTCATGCCTTTAAAATTAACGTTTCACACACCCACAGTCCCTTCGCTAAAAATTAATTGGAACTAAAAACTCATAAAAACCGCGCAAACTTCAATTGATAGGTTGCTTATTAGACTGACACGAAATTTGAAATTTTCACACCACAGCACTTAGACGGTTCTAAATCGTGTCTTGATTAGCCTCTCAAAATTTGAACTTGTTTGTTTGGAAACTGACTGTACTGGAACATTGGAAGTTTGTATGGGAATAACTATGGGAAAAAATCCATACCTTTTGTTCATTGCCTTCTAAACTTTTTCTACATTGCTCTGATCTTTTTTCAATCAAACGACTAATAAAATAGTTATTAACCGACAAGCAGAACTATACATATTTTTGTAGATGAATATGGGAATTATAATGAATAATTCTCGAAGAAAATATCAAACCAATATCAAGATTTACTATTAAAAATGGTAGCTAGCTTTTCAGCTTCTGCATAGATCAATAAAGATCTTGTCACCCAGATCCCGAATGCCCACCCTAGTGAATTGCAGTACGTAGATATAACCACAATGTGAACTATACATTTCGTAAACACCGGCTTTTCTCATGGCTTTTATTGGGTCATTTGTTGGTTCTGACAACGACTTCAGCTGATTATTTCTGTTACTGAATAATAAATCTAGGCCAAAACTCCTCGAATTCGAACTCAACAGTTTAGTAAATGTGTCTGTTAACATTCACGACTACTCGTTCCCAAATATTCCCCCTTATTCTGCGAGTCACGTGACTCTCTCTCACCGGTGAGGTGACAATAGTCACCTCACCGGTGAGAGAGAGTCACGTGACTCGCAGAATAAGGGGGATTATGTCACTGGTGTAAGAGTTATCATAGTCCGTCTCAAATGGTCCCTCGATGTATTTTATCGATTATTGCTTGTATTATACTATACTATGATAGTTCTGTCTTGATACACATTGAGGCTAGCTGTTTTTTTCAAAAATATGAGCCATTTCCTTCGAATTCCTTATATCTCCAAGAGGAAAAGTTTGCATCCTGTGAATCATGGATTTTTATGAGAGTGGTTTGAAGAGCTTGAATTTGGATTTTTATGAGAGTGGTTTGAAGAGCTTGAAATTACTCGCTTGGTGTTTGTTGGTTTCCTATAGATTTCGAAATGACGTGTCCATGACAATGAGGAGATCTAAGAAAGGTAGTTTGCAATCTTCCACTTCTTCGTGAGTGTACTTGATATCCTTGTAAGTAGGGTAGAGCACTACTTCGTCGTAATCGCCCATTTCCGTTCTATCGATCAGAAAAGATCAATCATATCAATGATTTCACCATGCACAAATCAATAATAGGTTTGTTCAGATGCGTTACTTCATTAGCTACAACATAAATCCTATTAGAGCGCATTGCATGAATATTTACGCTCATTGTTGTCAAAACAAAAGAAGCGCTCCTAGCGAATCACGTTTTTGTACGTTTATCCGAAGGACGAAGAAAATGTAATGGCGTTTCAATGCGTTAGGACGGAATTGAATCTCTTGGATGGATTTAGAATCAAGAAGCAGTATTACATTTTAAACAATATTTCAACAATTTGTGACTCTTTATCAAATCCATGGAAAGGTTAATCTATTTAGAAGTTATCTTTGAGAGAAATTTTAAATTTTTTGTTCAAACCCGTTCAAAAAAAGAGGTAAAGCGTGAGCTGTGCTTAGTAGGACGGAAATTAGATCAAAACTCCTACTCGTGTAACATTTGAAAAGGGCCTATCCTCGTTGATCGATTATCGATGATGTTAGCTTGTGCCTGAAACAACACGATGGAAAATGCATTTGCAGTCGTGTTATTCGCGAAAGAGAAAATCGATGAAGAGAATCGATCAACAATGATAGGCCCGTTTCTCGTGTTACGCGAGTAATACTGTTTATGGCCTCTCAAATTGTTTAGCAAATCCTCCTATATATATATATACCTACATCATTATTCTTGTCTATTTGATATATGTTTCACATCGAAGATGCGTCACACATATCAAAACGGCCGGCCTACTGTGCAGCATTTAAGGGGCAAGATGATTCAGAAACATGGGGCGATGCTTCAGAATCCAATAAATAGATGAAACGTGGACATCTCGTACCGTACGTTCCGATTTTGGTAATTATATGATTGGTTGTCGTTGGAAGCATCAAAGCTAGAAAGATTAAGTGATACTCCATTTTCTTCTGACGGTTGGGGCATGAGCACTAACTCTTGTCCTAGCCTTTTGGCTATAGCACCATTACTCGCTTTCTGAAAAGAGAAGAGGGAAATGAAAAGGAGAAGGACAAGTGAAAAGGATTATGTGAAATCTATGAGCATAAAAAATATTTTTGATTTGAAAGAAATGCCATGGTCACTACCCAAGTCTTGTCACTATTATCAAGTCATAAAAAGTAACAAGGACTAAAATGTGATCCTTTGATTACTGGAAAATCCTGATTCCCTAGTTTGAATTTGTTACGACTAGGGTTCGGTGGTAGATCTTATACCAGTAGCGCACCACAAAAAGGTGATCTCCCAACGTTACTGGTTTGAAAAGATACAAATTTACAAAATGGAACGAACTCACCATGTTTAGCCAATTGTGTTGATGTAGGAGTCCAAATTGTAGACGAATCTTGACGAAGATCAACATGAACTAGTCCGGTTTATGGTAGTTGCGCGGAATGTCTTCCTTCGATTTGAGATAAACAAATGTTCGGATGTATGTAGTCGATTCTTGATGTGCATTGGCAAGCCTTTTCGTGGTCAATAGTCAGGTTCAACGCTGCGACTCAACGAATGATGGAACTAATAATGGGACGAATGATGTGACGCCTCGTGGAGGTTCAACTTGGCCTCGCAATAGCTTCTCACCGGCAAATAATAGGAGATTAGAAATTGTCTCCTGTGTCTGGGTCATGGCCAGATCAGCAACCGATAATAGATAATAAAAAAAAAACACCACGGAAAAACAAACGTCAGGTTCGAACACACGCACAGCCTACTCT